GCCTTAGACCCCCAGTCCTTAGTATAGCTCTCATAGCAGCCAAAGACTTCATTAAAAAATGTACTGTATTTTCAATAACCAGAAAGAAAATAGGGATTGCTGGTTAGTGGTAACCGATCGACGGTTACGAATGTAGGATTTAATCATTGGGTTACACGAAAAATCACGAGTAAAAAAACCAGTACAGTGGGGTCGGGGTATAGTGGGGACGGGGTATAGTGGGGACGGGGTATAGTTGAGTCGGGGCATAGTAGGGACGGGGAGGTCACAGGTTTACAGGAATTTTTAAATCTGAAAGTGATAAAATCACTTTCGAAAAAACGCTTCGATGCAAATCGGTAGTTAGTATTTTCAAGCCAGTACAGTCCAAACCAAGCACAGTATAAACCAGCAAAGTTAGACAATTTTAAATTAAGGTTCTGTATTTACAAATGAGCATCAAAGCGTTTATTTGAAAGCGATTTTATTCAATTTTATCACTTTTATTTATAATAATTCCTGTAGACCTGTGACCTCTCCGTTTCCTCATTGCTATGATAACATTATGCCAATACTCTACTGTACTAGTCCTCTCGGATAAAATCGCTTTCAAATAAACGCTTTGATGCTCATTTGTAAATATAGAACCTTCATTTAAAACTTTTAACTTTGCTGGTTTATACTGTGCTTGGTTTGGACTGTACTGGCTTGAATACTAACTACCGATTTGCATCGAAGCGTTTTTTCGAAAGTGATTTTATCATTTTCAGATTTAAAAATTCCTGTAAACCTGTGACCTCCCCGTCACGTTTATGCCCCGACGCAACTATGCTCCGTCCCCACTATGCTCCGACCCCACTGTACTGGTTTTTTTTTATCTGTATACACTGTAACTTAAAAACTCGTACGGTTTTTTTTTTGTTTTTTCAAATTTCGTCTGTAAAGAAGTAAACTTTTTCAACTTTTACCTCCCCAAAGTACCAACTAGATAAAATTTGTGATTTATAGAGCTGCTATTCGAAGGAATTGGTCCAGTATTAAAAAAGTTACAGTGTATACAGATAAAAAAAAAGCCCACATCAGAGTAAAACCAATCTCGCTTTGCATCGAAGCTAAAACAGTTAGTAGTAGTAGTAAAAAAACAGTTTTACAGACTCTATTTGGCTTGTTAAGGCTTTGTGTGAGTTAGCTATATCATTTATGAGTTAATAGACCTGTATTAACTGATCAGTACCAACCGACATTTTGGCTTTCCGTACTGCCAATCTACTACATTAGCGGCGACTGTTTGAGTTTACATTATAGTACACAAAAGAAAGATTTTATGATATATTGGGCCAGGCAAAATTAAGTACAACGATTATTCTTGTAATATTGAAGTAAATATATTTTTTCAAAACATATTATATAGTAGGTACACAATACATAATATCAAATATTACGTAATACACTACTATTTTTAGTCATCATCGTCAGTACCCCGTCTATCTTCGACAAAATCCGTTGCATCTTCGACAGAACCTGATCCAGCTTCGTCAGTACCCTCTTCATCTTCGCCAGTACTCTCTTCATCTTCGGCATAATCCTCTTCATCTTTGGCATTACCCTCTTCATCTTCGACAACAGCCTCATCTACAGTATCTTAAATTTAAGTTTACTTTAAGTTTTCCGTTTTTAAGGAGTTTTGTATAGGCAATATTTACAAAAAAAAAGGTTTCAAGGTATTATTTATGATTTAAAAAATTTTTCCTATGAGTATAAAAGCCATTTCAGTTAACATGTTTTATCAACATGTTATATTGTAAAAATAAACAAAACTAACCGGTTCAGGGGGGGATTATTTGTTCGATGAAGACACAAAAAATGCACAACATCAGTTTAAACGGATTAATGTTATAACCAAAATAGACTGTAACTAAATCTATTTAACTAATCGTATTTCCACTCAGATAATAAAATAAACAATTTTGGATTCTGCATATTTTTGCCACTGAAAGGCAAATTTGTTCAAGGTATATAAATTGGCTTGTGTTATATTGGAAAGCGACATTACGTTGAAAATGATTTTCACAACATTTTGTGTACTCTTTGTAATTATTTTCATGATCCAACACGAGCCGCTGTTGTGCAAAGATGTCGAACAGGTCGAGCATGGGAAACTAGTAACACAGTGGAAGCAAGTGAGTTCATTTAAAAGTGGCTATAAGACCGAAAAGTTGGGACCCGATTTCTCTAGTTTATCCAATGAACAGCTAAGGGAAAACATATCTCTCAGATTCGACCTGCTTAAATGCGGTCATCAACAGATTCCAATTGTATTCGCCTTCGCTCGTGGATTCGGACACTTGGAATGCATTGAATCAAACGATGAATTGTTGTATAAAGTTTCCCAAAAACTGTGGGTTGCAAGGATTACTCATGTTTGGCAATCTTAACATTATCATTGTTGGCATATTTAGATTTATGTTGGTACGACTCACGTGGGAATTCCTGATGCAAATAAGTCGTATGATAAGCTCAAGGCCAAAACTAGCCGCTTATGATACAGACGGAGACATTGATTTTTTGATTGAAGATTTCCAAATGGTTTTACCGCGCGTTATTAATGCGTTACACTTAAACGACGACGATGTCTTCTGTGAACTCAACAGTATCATCTTGAAACATGGTGCAGATTATTTTAAACAAAACACAGACTATATGTCTGGAAAATTCCAACATGAACACAAAAGGTTATGCCGTGTTTTAAATATCCCACTATTAGAATATTCGACACACCCGGTTCAGCGCCAATCGAAAAAAGCAACAACTGTAATTGGTGAAATTCAACTGTACTATAAAGATACTCTTGAATTCGATTTATATCAATCTTACATAAAGTTTATCAATGACTATAGCGTTCGCATTTCCATGTTTTTGCAAAACTGCTGTACAACAACATGTTGAAAAGTGGGTTTTTAACTGCACAATTGCATTGGAAATCATTTTAAAAATTTTTTGTTTTCAATCATTTACACCTATTTTGGTTATACTTTATTCGTTAATGTAAAACGTTCAAAACATGTATCTTTAATTCAATTTCAATTTAAATCATACTGTACTTGTAAAAAAAATGTTATAATTGTACTAATAAAATATGTTTTGATTTGATGAATCGTGTGAATGTTATTTCTTACATAAAATATTATTATGTATTTATCAATACAATAATAATTGTACCCTTAGTGGTAGACGAAATGTAACCTTGTCTTTTTTTCCACTTTTTTAAGAGCTTAAAGCAGATTAACAACGGGGCTATAACATTATAGACAATTTTTCCAAAAATCCGAAGTCAAATTCATTTATACTTGTATTACTGTCCAGCGCACACCGAATGTAGACATCTACAATAACTTTTTTTTTTAGGGGGGGGGGGGTTCTAATTTAAAATCGAAACAGCTTTTAAATAAATTTGACAAACAATTTGTTGGTTCAAATTTATCCGTTTACAAGCGTCGTTGTCAACACTAAGCTTCGTGTTTATATTTATAACAAACAAAAGTATTTTTGACTTCATTATAGTCTTGGCATAATTCTTTCTTTGCTATATTAATTGTTTAGATATTCTTCGATTTTTAGTTCTTGGACTGAACTCGAAACTATAACTGTATCTTCAACAATGTCAAACGAAATTGGAGCTGTAGACCACAAAATGAAGGACCAGGAGCCATTGAGAGAGGCGGGAAAAGAGTTGGATTGGCTCGTAGAGAATTTATGCGTCGCATTGGGCATACAACCCAACAAAAACTTTAACAGGCAACAGCTTGTTAACGTTGTCGTTGGGTTAAAGGCCCAATGCGACGAAGCCAGGTATGTTCTGCAAAGCAATCGAGCCATAGATGATGTGCTTCAAGAACGAGACCAAATAAAAGATCAATTAAAAGGACTAGAATCGAATTTGGCCCATGTCAAGAACGGCAACAAAAAACTTGTGGACAAAAATCAAAGTCTTAAAATGACACTGGTGACTGTCAAGCGCCAACACATTGGTAAATGTTAAAATTAAAAAAACTGTAAAAATTTAATTTTGAACAATTTTTTTTCTGCTTCAAGTACGCGGCCAGCTAAAAATGAAA